ATACACTGAAAAAGGAAATTGAAGATGATCTCAGAAAATGGAAAGACATCCCTTGCTCATGGATAGGAAGAATAAACATTGTGAAGATGGCCATTCTCCCAAAACTCTTATACAGATTCAATGCAATCCCAATAGAAATACCATCAACATACCTTATAGATCTAGAGAAATCACTCCTAAATTTCATCTGGAACCAGAAGAGACCTAGAATCGCAAAGGCAATTCTAAGCAGCAAAGGCAAAGCAGGAGGCATCACAATCCCTGACTTGAAATTATACTACAAAGCAACAGTAGTAAAATCAACAAGGTATTGGAATCAAAACAGAGCTGAAGATCAATGGAATAGATTAGAAGATACAACCACAACTACAAACACACTCAACCACCTTATCTTTGATAAAGGAGCTAAGCAGGTTCACTGGAAGAACGACAGTCTCTTTAATAAATGGTGCTGGAAAAACTGGCTCTCCATTTGCCGAAAACTAAAGCTAGACCCATGTCTATCACCATGTACTAAATTAAAATCTAAATGGGTCAAAGATCTGAATATTAAAAAGAAACACTAAATCTATTGGAAGACAAATTAGGTAGAAACCTTAGAGACATAGGAGTAGGTAGAGAATTCATGAACAGGACTCAAACCGCACGGGAAATACTTCCCAGAATCAATAACTGGGACCACTTCTTATTAAAAAGTTTCTGCATCTCAAAAGAAATCTCCAGCATAGTGAAAAGAAAACCCACGAACTGGGAAAAGATTTTAGTGAACTCTCTCTCAGACAAGGGACTCTTGTCTAAAACATATAAAGAATTAAAAAAACTCAGACCTCCAAAATTCAACGATCCAATCCAAAAATGGGCATCTGAGATGAATACGCAATTCTCAGATGAAGAAATGCAAATGGCAAATAAATACATGAAAAAATGCGCATCATCATTGGTCATTAGAGAAATGCAAATTAAAACCACACTGAGATACCATCTCACTCCTGAAAGAATGGCCAGGATCAAGAAAACCAACAACGACAAATGCTGTGGAGAGGCTGTGGGGAAAAAGGAACTCTCCTGCACTGTTGGTGGGACTGTAGACTGGTACAGCCTTTGTGGAGGTCTGTCTGGAGATTTCTCAAAAAGTTGGGATTGGAAATCCCATTTATTCCAGCTATTCCACTTCTAGGCATATTCCCAGAAGAACTGAAAGCATCATACCACAGTGATATATGTGCACTTATGTTTATAGCAGCACAATTTGTAATCGCCAGATCTTGGAAACAACCCAAGTGTCCATCAACTGAGGAATGGATAAAAAAGTTGTGGTATTTCTATACAATGGAGTATTATTCAGCTATAAAGAAGGATCGCATTGAGATATTTATCAATAAATGGGCGCAGCTTGAGACCATACTCATAAGTGAAATAAATCAATCTCGCATGTATGAATACCGAATAGTTTCCCTAATGTAAGTAATGATTCAAATATATAAAAATATGTGGTAATCATGATTCCCCATTATGTGGCCTTGAAGCCTTATAAAATTTTCATTTATTAATTAGAAAGGCTTTATTCTGGGCTTCTTGATATGGAAATATTTGAAGCTATGGTATATGAAGTTTTATACAAATATTTCAAGGAAAAAAACAGACACTATGGTAACTACTATTCTTTAAAAAAATTATTTAGTTATTTCTTATGTTTATTTTAATTAAGGGAAAAATTTAAAAAATTAGGATATATAATAGTAACTCTTTTTGATTTCCTATTAACTTGTTTTGAAGTCCTGTAATACTCCCACGATCTTGTTTTGACTGATTAGACTCTGTTCCATTCTGTGCAATAGTATCAAGTCTGAGGGTATAGGCAACTACTTTGAAGGCAATAAGATTCACAAAGATGCCCATTCTGGTTTGACTATTGTCTCCTTTGGAAGTCCTGTAATGTTTACAATGCCTGAGTTTTATTGGTCTTGTTCTCTACTGTTTTGTCCAACTTTATAATATCTAATGAGATAGACAATTCTTTTTAAGGAAACAAGAGACAACGTTGATAACCATTGTTAATAACCTTGTACTCTGTTCTACATCATGTGCTATGTCTATCCTTGGTTTTGACTGACAGCTTTGTTTTGCCATATTTGACTTTATTCTCTCCCCCCCAAAAAAGTAATAAGAACTAAGGAGTAATAAAATCCAAAATGTGTAAATTTTGTTGTAAAAAAGAGAGGGAGGAAAAAAAAAAGAGCTCTAACGGATATAACAGCAAGTGTGTTTAGGGGTGTTAAATAGCTGACTATATTAATGTTTTTGGATCATTGAACACAGCTGTTTGCAGTCTCTCTGTTTGAATGTCTACTTTGTATTCTTTGATACTGTGATTTGAGCAACTATTTCCAAGATGATAATATGTAATCTATTAACAGGTGATTTCTTACTGTTATGTTTTTTTTTGCAGTTCTGTATTATGTGTAACCTTACACTGCTTTGTTTTGTTTTGTGTTTTTCTCTTTTTCCTCTTAAATAAAAAAAAAGAGTGGATTTTGCTGAAACACAAAGCGATCTTTATATTTTTTTGTCTTTGATAGCTGATGGATCCAAATATATACAAGATAGATGTTTTTGGTAGTGGTATGCTATTGGTGGATATATGTACTATTGATAAATATTCTTTTATTTTAAAACTTATAAACACACACATATATATGTGTGTGTGGATATATATATATATATATATATATATATATATATATAATTGGAGAGAGAGACAGAGAGAGAAAGTCTCACTATGTAACTCAGGCTGGTCTTGAACTCAGTATTTAGCCTAGACTGACCCTGCGCTCAACAGCAATCCTCCTGTAAGTGCTGAGATTATGGGTGCAAGCCATCATGCCTGATTTGGTATATTTTTAAAAAACCATTACATGACCCTACAACTGTTTTGAAGCTATGATCCAAACATACAATAGAAATCAGATATTAGATTTTAGAACTTAATAAAAATCACTCCAGCTATTTCTCTTATTCAAGGTTCATATCTAAATATATGAGACAGTTGAAAATCTATCTTGTTTTCGAAGACCTATAAAGCAAGCTCTATCCAACACAGAAAAAAGCAGAATTTAGCTTTCAGTTAGACCATGTGTTTAACTACAGTTGTTCCAAATTCTACTTATTTTACTAAAATGCTACTTTATCACTTTCTCTTTCATAACAACAAGTAGTAGAACTAATTAGATTAAGATTTTCTTTTTATTTAATTTTTTTCATTTAAACCTGTGTCAAATAAAAAACAGTATGCTTGAGGACCTGGATTTTTATCCCTAGCACTATAATAACAAACTTCATATGTTTAAAATATTCTGGTGAAAGTGCATAGCAGGGCTGAGGATTTAGCTCAGTGGCATAAGTGTCTGCCTGGCAAACTCAAGGTCATGAGTTCGATCCCTGGTACTACCAAAAAAGAAAAAGAAAATGCATATATTCATTGGTCAAACTTTGCTCTATTTTTTCTTTTCCTCTTCTTTTTTGTATCCCTACAATATGGGGGGACCCAGGGCTACAATTGTACATCCCTGGCTATTTTTTTTTAGATATTGTCTCACTAACTTGCTCAGGCTGCCCTCAGACTTGCAATCCTCAGCTTCCTGAGTAGCAGGGTTATTGGCATGTACCACTGTGCTGAGCTTGCCTTGCTAACTTTTAAACATTGTGTGGGTTATCATTTTTAAGGTACATCAGATCTCATAGCAAGCATAAGAACGTGAATGAGTGAATCAATGAGTAAATCAAACAGAAGTAACTGGACTGAGGAAATATGTTTTATGTTGTAACATTAAACTTCAAGACAAATGCATTAGCCAACACTCTCAGGAGGAATATTAGCTAATTTATGCAACTAAGAAATCCAGAGTATAGCTGGCTTTGGCACAACAGGATTGTCTCACTTACATTTCTTGTTGCTGAGACAAAATACCCAACACCCCAAGTAAAAGGAAGAAAGATTTATTTCAGCTCACAGTTTGTAGAGATTTCAGTCCATAGTTGGCTGACTCCAGGGCAGGGCAGCATGGCAGAAAGGCAGCACCGAGGAAAAACAGTCCATGGCAAAGAAAGCAGAAGGCAACAAGCAGCAGCGACAAGCCTGCCTTTCCTCTCTCCCTTTCTATTGCATCCAAGCTGTGAGCCAGTTCGTTGGTGCCACCCACACTCATGGTGGGGCTTTCATTATCCATACCCAGAACTATGCTAATTTCAAGCAGTGGACTAATTTTGTACTGCACCCTTTTAATCCCACTATTACATGCTCCAGATCCAGCTAGCTCTGTAAATCCTGACCTATAAGTGCATGAAGCTTTAAGGAATCTCTAGATACTAGCTGTAAAAAGGATCAACATAACGTAACAAGTATCTCTTTCTCCCAGCTGTGTTCTTCTCTGTGTCACTTCCAACTTTAGACAGTTTTCTCTTTTTTTGTGGCTAAAAATTACCACAAGAACATCTCTAAGCTTATATTTTACTAGTTTAGCAGTCAGTGTACAAAAAATTTGGCTTATGACAGGTTATTATAGGCTTACTGTGGGCTTATTTTATTGCTGTTATACATAAATTATTGTCTAAAGCTATTTTACACATCTATGGAGAAAGGATAAGATGCCTTAATACCACTTAACTCCTCTGAACTAACAGTAGAGGAGAGATGTTTTCCCAAACTCTCATGATGCTGCTCTCATGAAGGAAGCATATATTCCTAGCCACTACAACCATCAGAGACCTGGCTAAGAAAGCATATATTCCTGATAGATAAAAATCATAGATATTGATGCTGGTGGTCTAGTTCAGAAGTAAAGTGCATGCTTAGCATGTGCAAGGCCCAGAGTCCGATCCCTAGCACCAAAATAAAATACATCAAAATAATAGCAGATGTCTATTACAATATATATTCATTTGTTTTCTCTAAAATTGGAATTGTTCCCTTTACCACTTGGTATCTGTTTCCTGCTTCACAGAACTACACTCAATTATCAGAAGTATTCAGTCTTTCAAGGAAGTAAAAGGCAGGAGTATCTTCAATGGAAGTTCCTTTGATCTACTCCAGTTTGTACAATTCCTAGAGACGTTTGTTGGTGAAGATGTACCCTTGAGTGCCAGTGAGACCCTCACTTCTTTTTTTAAGAAGGGCTATGTTGAAACAAAAGAAGAGAAAATGAATGCCTTAGAAAAGGTGGGTAATATTTATCAATGAAACAAGTTAGTGACCTAACTTAGTTGCTCCCAGTTGTACATCTTATTTTTGTTTTTTACTGGTTCATTTCTTGATTTTTTTTTGTACATCTTATTTTAAAGACGTGCAGCCAAACTAATCACTTTATTTCAACAAGCACCATCATTACATTTCTTGTTTTATTGGCAAATGTTCAAAGGTCACAGTCTAGAGAACTCATTTCCCTAGTGATAAGATGATTGTTCCTAGCAGGAAGTGATTTATTATACAGCTTTGTTTTTCCTCTGAAGTTTAAGTGGATATGTGTACGTGCAAAGATGTATGTGTCTCTGTTTGAGTGCATTTACAAACCCAAATACAGAAGTATATAATTATAGCTAGATTATATATTTTTATTTACAGGATCCCAGGTAGCACATATCTCCTAAGAATTTAATACTTTCTTAGATGATAAATAAATGTATACACGTTACCTTATACAAGCTAATTCTCTCATATGTGAAATGAAAATTACTTTCACCAAGCTTATTCAGTAATCTCATCAGTTTTATGAGTCTTCTCAGGCTAATTCCAGAGTTGATATCCTTTTCGCCTCCTCAACTGCAGGTCTATCCATTTAGTCAAAGGCACATATTTATTTTCTTTTTGCAACTAACTATCTATATATGAATGCAATTGCAATCTAATTAATAGAATTCATCTAATAGAAAATCTTAAAGGTAAATAAAATCAATGTCAAGTTCAGTCAATATTAAATATAAAAAATAATTTTTTTAGCATAACCACTTTTCATTGTTTGAACACTATGTTCATTCTCTTTCAATATAAAACATCCCCTAAAAAGTCAGGAAAAGCACCTCACGTGTTTATCACATTTTTTTATTAATGAAAGAGGGACTGGAAAAGAATTCTTAAGAAGGTTAGTACCCTTTCCTATATAATATGTTTTAGTCCACTGTAGACAGTTCCTGGTTTCATTTGGTTCTGTTCTGCTCTGTTTTGGTTTTGGTTTGTTTTGGTTTTTGTTTTGGTTTAGAAGTGAAACAAAGAAGTGACATTTAAAGGGGTTAAAATTTTATTCTGAATTTTCATGGTTTACTCCAAAGTAAAGCAGTTTTTATAAAATGTTCCAGGCTTTTAAAAAGTAAGCCCAGGGTGCTATGTAGCATAATGAACATTATGTCTTCTGTGACTTATTACCCGTTTCTAACCTAGGTTAGACAAAATGCTTTCCAGATCCGACAGGGACTTCTCTTAAAAGCCCTTTTTCAGAAATGGGACAGTGATGGCTCAGGATTCCTGGATCTAGAAGAAATTGATAAAATCTTACATGCATACAAGGATGGAATGGAAAAAGGATCTATGAAGAAAGGTAAAACTGTATAGGATTGACAACCATGTTACTAAGTTTTTGTTGGATAGTTGAACAGAACTGTTTGCAGTTTCGCTGTTTGAATTCCCACTTTACATGTTCCATTTCTGTATCTTGAACAACTATTTGTAAAATGACAATATGTAAACATCAATTAGTGATTTCTTACTGTTTATTTTTTTCTCTGAATGTGTGAATTAATTCTACCTATTTTCTGTTTTGTTTAGTCTTTCTTTAAATAAAATTTTTAAAAAAGAAAGGTAAAATATAAGAATGGTGGTTGAGCCAGGGATATAGCTCAGCAGCACAGTGTCTGCCTGTCAGGCACAAGTTTATGAGTTGGTTCAATCCCCAATACTAAAAATAATAATAATAATAATAATAATAATAATAATAATAATGTTCCTATTTAAGTCATGGTAGCAGTTTGTCTTCAAGTTTCCCACTACCGTGACATATACAGTTTAAAAACAACATTGATTATACTAAGACTATTAGCTATCACTTTACACTGGTGGTACCACGTCATTCTAATAGTATGACCATAGTTTTTAAAATGAAAAATAACAAGTGTTAGCAAGGATGCATAGAAATCAGGATTTTTATACATGTGTCACTGTATGCAGGAGTGGAATATCCAACCCCTTAACTCCACATAGTAAAATTGTTTTTGTGTACATGGTTGCCCACATTCTTGAGATTAAAAGAATCCAAGCCATGTCACATTTCTGCCTGGATTCTCTTGTTCATTTAAGTCTGACTGACTTGCAAATTTCTCCTCAATTTACTAATTTCTTATTCTCTTCTCCTCCTGTGCTATGTTTTTCCTTTCTGATCAATACTTCCCAAACAAAAACTACTTCAGTTTTCATTCTAGTATAATAAATTCTTTTCTTCACTAGGCCCCAGTCTAAATAATTTCAATCTTCATTGGATTTAAAGATTTATCTGGTGACTTCTATATACCCCATTTCTAATATTTGAAGTATATATAGTATGCACGGTTGAAAATTTGACAGGATTGGTTAAATCCTTTAGCTCTTTCAAACATCATCATATTGGTTGATCTTTTAATATAATTAGGTTTATCAATTGTCTTGTTCTCTTCAATAACTATGTCTTCCTTAAACTGTGTCACACTGTACTGCTTTTCTAAGACTGAATCCAAAGAGGATTTACTTAGTGAATATTCAAAAGGCTTAATAATGTGGTTTCTACTTAGAAGATGGGTAAATTTCATAACACAGAACCATGTTCTACAGAAAATCCTAAATGATGATCAGGATGTCTGACTTCTAATACTAGATCTTCACTGCACAGTCGTGTGACCTCTGACCAGTCACATAACTTCTAGAGACACAGGTATCCTTATTTGTAAAATGAAGTAGTTAGTCAAGGTGAATTCTAAAATTTAAGAAACCTAATGATGATGTTGGGAAGTTCAATATGTTAGATTATAAGGAATCCAGCTATATGGAATTATACAAAATACAATTTAAGGAAAAACTACAGACTCCAGATCCTGTGCACATTGCCAAGATCCTCTCAACCTGCTTACACTGCTTCACTTTTGATTTTCTGCTGGTTGAAAGCTGCATGGGAAGGGCCCTTGGAGACCCTCAATCCGTACAGTAGTTAACATTTAATTATTCTTTGACTCCCTAAGAGTCCCAAAATGGCAGAGCAGTAAGTGCCAGCAACTCAGTTTCTCCAGGACAAAGTGTCTTGTGCCTAGAAAACAATAGTTTGAAGAAGAATTAAAGTGAGTGGACATTACTCAGGAACCATGAGGGAACCAACGGAGGAAAAGAAAATAGGATTAAGTGATACAGAAGAAATAGATCACACCATGGAGAGACTCGGCAGCTCCGCTGACAGAGGCTGTCTAGCCACCAGGTGGAGGCAAAGTGAAACTATTTTGCTCCAGGAGAGTCGGGCAACTGCATCGGGACTGAAAGGAATCATCGGGTCGTTGGAACCAGCAAGGAAAACATAGGACACTGCTTCCAGAGCAGCCTTCCACAGTCAACTGTAGATGAGTGAGCTCAGTACAGTGCCTGCAGTCACAATTGCGGAACAAGAACTGGCAGGAATGCCTTTGTAGGGAGGGCTGAATTTTTGAACCTGGGTACCAGAGCAGCCCGCTGATTGCCTCACACTGCCAGGTTCCCAGAGTGGATGAGAGAAAGAGAATCACAGAAGACCGCTGGAAATTGAACGGCAAACAAGGTGGAATCCCGTGAGCGAAGGGGTTTGTGAACACAAGTCCGGCTCCTGTGGTCAGAGGCCGAGTTTGATCTGAGTTGCATGGGCCTGGAAGTTCACAGTGGTGTTGAGTTCACACTGTAAGCAGATCTCTACACTCAGCACCATTCTGGGGACAGAGTGGCACCTTAGACTTCCGGTGTGAACAGTGAGCTCTGCTCCTTAACACTAGGCTGTGGAAAAGAGCCGTACGTCCGAAAGACAGAACACTTTCTTTTATTATTCTTTATTTGATTACGTTATTTTTTCATTTTCTATTTTTTACTTTTTTATTCTTTGCTGTTTTCCTTCTTCTGTACATTTTCCCTCAAAATTTAATTTCATTATTTTCTTTTTTCCTTTAGAGCATGTGTTTGTGTGTGTGTGCTGCTTTCCTCATGCCTTTTTTCTCATATAACTTATAGAGGGTAAGAGAATTCTCCCTAATTTCACCTGACTTGTTTTTCCTGGGTCTTATTCATTCGCAATTTTTCTTTTTCTGTCTGTCTCTCTGTCTGTCTGTCTCTCTTTTTCCTCTTTTCATTTGTTTCAGTTTAACTTTTTCTGTAATATTTATGTCATAGACTCTTTTCCCATCTCCATTTCTCACTACCAACTTTGTACTCAATTTTCTTGTTATCTCTTTCTAAATATATAATATACTTTAGCATCAGTAGGTTTCTTTGCCCCATCTCCTATTTCCACCTTCCCATACCATAATGCTGAAGATATTTTTTTTTAAGTTTTCTTTTTCTTTTTTATCTTCTCTCCCACTCTGGCATTGCCTAGTTGCAATCCTCTGGATGTCAGATAACTGATTCTATAAAATCACTGTTGAATGCTATTTTTCACCATTAGAGGAGATATCACCATCATATTAATGCACATTTACTATGATTTAAGACTAGGGTTATTATGATGCTTATAGTCAACAAGATACTAGCAACTAAATTGCAGCACATTATCAAAAAGATCATACATCATGATCAAGTAAGTTTCATCCCAGAAAATGCAAAGATGGTTCAACAAAGTCAATAAATGTAATACATCACATAAAGAAAACCTAGGTCAAAACCATATGATTATATCTGTAAAAGCAGAAAAGGCTTTCAATAAAATCCAGCACTGCTTTGTAATAAAAACCCAAAATGAAACAGGTATAAATGACCACACCTGAATATGATAAAAACTATATATGACAAACTAATAGCCAGCATCATACTAAATAGGCAAAAGCTAAAATTATTCCCCCAAAATAAAAAAATAAGACAATTATGTCTACCATCATCTCTTATATTCAACTTAGCACTTGAAACATTAGCAATTAAGCAAGAGAAAAAAATAAAAGTGGTATACATAGGAAAGGAAGAACTTAAATTATCATTATTTGCCGATGACATGATACTCTACATAGAAGATCCAAAGGACTCCAACGACAAGCTCTTAGAATTAATAGCAAACCTCAGCAATGTAACAGGATACAAGGTTATACACAAAAATTATTATTTGTGTATAACAACCATGAATGAGATGAGAAAGAAATTATGAAAATAACACCATTAACAGTAGCTTCAAATACAATGAAATACTTAGGAATTAATTTAACCAAGGAAGTGAAAAACCTCTAAAAAGGAAACTACAATACTCTGTAAAAAAAAAAAAAAAAAAAAAAAAAAAGGAGAGAGACTGAAAAAGACATCAGAAAATGGAATACATCCCCTGCTCCTAGGTAGGCAGAGTCAATATTGTCAAAATAACCATACTTTCAAAATTGCTATACAGACTCAATGGTATCTCAATTAAAATATCAACAGCATATTTACAGATCTGGAAAAAACAATCTTAAAATTCATATGGAACCAGAAGAGACAGACCTACATTAGCAAAAGAAACTTTGGGCAACAAGAGCAAAGCTGGAAGCATAGCAATATCTGCTTTCAAGCTATACTACAAAGCAATAGTGATAAAAATGGCATGGTATTGAAATAAAAACAGATAATTGGATCAATGGAATAGAACTGAGGACACAGAAACTTTTCCAGATACACTATCAGCTATTTGGTCTTCAACAAAGAGGCAAAAAGCAAATGTTAGAGGAAAGATAGCCTATTCAATGAGTGTTGCTGGGAAAACTGATTATTTGTGTGTAGAAGTTTGAAATTAGAACCTTATCTTCCATCACATACTTAATAAAAGTCAAAATGGATCAAAGATCTAAACATTAAAACAAACATTAAACCCACTAGAAGATTAAATAGGCAAAATACTCGAAAACATGAATGTAGGAAAGGTTTTCTAAACAGAACCTCAATTGCCCAAGAAATAGCAGCAAGAATCAACAAATGGGATTATATCAGACTAAAAAGCTTCTGCAAAGTTAAGAATCTGTCAGTAGAAAGAAGAGACAACCTGAAGAATTTGCCAACCTAAAAAATTTGCCAGCTGCTCTTCAGAGAGAAGACTAATACCTAGACATATAAAGAACTTAAAAAAAAAAAAACCTAAAATTAAACATCAGGTCAAGAAATGGGGGAAAAAAAAAGAAACATGCAAGAGAAATTAACAGCACTTCAGAAAGGAAGAAATCAAAATAGTCAAGAAGAAGAGAACCAATCAGCATCTCCTGAGATCCAGCCATGTTGGAACTTAGAGCACTGATCAAGAAAACAACACGCCCTCTTTCCTGGTAGGCTGCTGTGGCAGGCGAGCCAGGAAGAGAACCAGTCAGCATCCCCTGCGAGCCTAGTGGAGCATGG